ACTAAATCATATATATAAATAAAGATTTATGAATATATATAAATATAAATAAAATTTTACAAATATATAAAACTATATATATATAAAACTTCTTTGAAACAATACTTATTCTTGCTAGGCACACTGATAACTTATATTCTGTTCTATTTCATTTTTTTAAATACCATTTGTGACCCACTAAATTGATTTCATAACCCACTAATACCCCTACTGTGAAGTCCATTGTTCACTACTCTGTACTGCAAAGTCTTTAAAGCTAAAATGTACATTTCCCAAAGTCTCCTGCAGCTAGGCTTCTAGGTGTGATTCAGTGTCCTATCAGTCAGATACAGCTGGAATTTGGAAGGTGGGAGTGATGTGGATGCCCTACTTGTGATGTGTCGGTTTTTTTCAGCTGGGGTCCACGCTGACAGAGGCATTTGGTTTTGCTGAGGCAGTTTCAGCAGCAACATTGACAGGGGCAACATCGATTAAAATCTTAACAAGATTTTAGGTAGAACGTAGATTGAACAAGATAGAACCTAGATAGAACAAGATTTTAACATAGAACATAGAACCTAGCAAAATAATTCTAGTATTCGTATGGAAAAGTAAAGATCCAAAAAAATTCAAGACAATCCTGAAAATTAAGAGCAAGCAGAGGGACTTGGCTTTCCAGATACCGGAACTTATAAAGAATCTATAGTATTGGTGCAGCAATAGACACGTAGAACAAATTGAACATAATAGAGATCCCAGAACAAGACCAAGCGTATAAACAATTTGGCACTTTTCAAAGATGGCATCACAAATCAGTAGGAAAAGAACAAACTATTCAATTACTGATGTGAAAACTACTGGGTTTCCATATAAAAGAAAATAAAATTAGGTCCTTTCTTTTCACCATAACAAAAATAAATTACAAGTGAATTAAAGACCTAAATGGAAAAAAGTAAAACTTCAAAACTATTAGAAAATGATATAGGAGAGAGGTGCCTGGGTGACTCAGTCAGTTGAGCATCCGACTCTTGGTTTCAGCTGGGGTCGTGATCTCCAGGGAATCAAACCCCTCATTGGGCCCTGCGCTCAGCGTGGAGTCTGCTTGAGATTTTTTCCTCCTCCTTCTCCCTACCCCTCCGCTCTTCTCCCCACACACACGTGCACACATGTCCTCTTTCTCTCTAAAATAAATAAAATCTTAAAAAAAGTGATAGAGAAGAATATTCTTATGACTGACTTTGTGGGATAGATGGATTTCTCAGACAAAAAGTGAAAATCACAAGTCATTAAAAAATTGATATGTTTGATTATATCTAAATTTAAAATTTCCTTCTGTATGACTAAACGTACCACAAAGTTCAAAGAAAAGCAGTAAGTTAGGAAAAAGTATTTGCAACTTCTGTAAGAGATAAGGATTAATACTCAGAATGTATCAAAAATAAGTGCAGCAAATTACCAACATCAAGAATAAAAGCATAGACATCACTAAGATCCTATAGGTTATAAAACATTATTATGAACAACTTTATTCCAGTAAATTTTACAATTTAGATGAAATGGAGAAATATTTTGAAAGACACAAACTATGAGCTCACCCAAGGAGAAATATGTAATCTAAATAGCCTTTATCTTTGAAAAAAATTGAAGTCATAGTTACAAACCTTTTCACAGAGAAAGCTCCAGGCCCAGGTGGCTTTACTTGTGAATTCTACCAAGTATTCAAGGGAGTAATGTTACCAATTCTACACAGTCTTTCAGAAAATAGAGGAGAGGGAACATCTCCCACCTCATAGAAAGATCTAAAAAAATTTACAAAAACACTACTACA